AGGAATTGTTTTCTATATATATCTTGTTGTTTTTTTGTCAGGCTTTGTTCCGTCCTGTCGCCATGATGGTTCCTGATTATGGCGTTGATTGCTGAGATCAGTCTTTTTCTCGTTTGTTTTTCTGAAGCTAAAGCTTTGGCCAAGAAAATCACCACCACATTCAAGCTCTCATCAGAACAGCTCAGTTCACAGGTTTGTTTGAGAAAAATTGACTCTGCTGGACTTTTGCTATGTGAAACTTAACCAATTAGATGTGTTTGTGGATAGTGTTTTTTCACGTGTTTTTCTGTAATTAAACTCTCTATAAGAGCAGACACCTCTTTAATTAAGGCGGACGTTGTTGGATGGCTGGTACCCGATCGAATTTCACTTGTTTGTCTGTAACTAAACTCCTTTTAAAGCGTACACCTCCTAAGGCGGACAACTAGGTCCCATGGATGTCCACCTTAGAGATAATTCACTATATCTTAGACATTTCAGTGTGTAGTATCGCTGTATATTTTTACAATTCTTGCCCTATTTCGGCTAGCCTCCTACGCAGACTTTCTTTGGGCTCGTCACGCCCCTCTTTTCATTTTGGCGAGTCCGTAGGGCGAGTCAAAATACAAATAACCAGTATAAACGTACAGGCGATACTTCACACTAAGTTCTTTAGTATTATGTTTTCCAGTATGAGAATCGATATGCCAGACATTATCCTTATTTTGCGATTGTTGAGTTGTTACAATATCAATTGAGAATAGTAAATACTGTTTAGTAAGAAAGCCTATTAATTTAGTTAAAATAACATCAATAACTGTATCTTACTACAGGATCACTACGACTTTGGGATGCGAGCTGTGAAGACTGTAATTTCAGCTGCTGGAAATCTGAAGAGAGAAATCCAGAAATGAGCGAGGTGATGAAAGTTTTAATTTCTTTTTGTCATTTGTACTGTATTTAAGGCTGTTCCAACAAACTCTACTTGATTGTTTTTATATCATTGTTATTTTGTTCTTGTTTCACTTCAGGAACTTATTGTAATTGCGCGCCATTCGAGATGTAAACGTACCAAAGTTCTTGCAAGATGATTTGAAGCTATTCCGTGGAATTGTCTCTGATCTCTTCCCTAAAGTCAAGTAAGTAGTAAACGTATCGTAAAATCCCAGGGATAATTGACGTGGACAGGTATGGCGAAGGGTCTTTCTTGGGTGGAAGGGGATCATATGAGGATCATACTTGAATTCTACTGCACGTTTCTTTACAGAGAGAAGCCTATTGACTACGGTGACTTGGAAGATTCCATGCGCAAAAATTGTCTAAAGTCAGGCCTTGAGGACGTGGATGGATTCATTACCAAGTGTATTCAGCTGTACGAGACAACTGTAGTCAGGCATGGCCTTATGTTGGTGGGTCCTACTGGATCAGGAAAAACAAGGGTGAGTTGGTCACACTGTAAATACTGTTGTTCTTTTCGATCAACGAAGTACGGTTCTTATCCAATCCAGGCATAAGTTCTGTATAAGAGGAAGACGTGTTATTTTCATGTATTGGGTTTGCTTTAGCTCCGATTTAAAGTTGCTTGTAACACATCAACCAAACCCGTGAAGTGTGTCTTTTCTGGTTCAGGGCGTTTTACCTCAAGTGAGGGCTGCATATGTCCGACTAAGTCACCATTTTGGTCGGACAAAACAAAATGAGGTCGGACATCATATTACAGTACTGCTTGATAAGCGAACCTGACCATCTAACGCGTTGTCAACGCAATGTAAATTAGTTTGCGTTTAGAACAAAATTAGCGTTGGCAGGCCAAAAAAAATTGTCTGGACATTATGTCCGACCACTGTTGGATTTTCATCGGACATTGGCAAATTTTGGTCGGCCATTGTCCGATGACCAACTGTTATTTGCAGCCTTAAAGTCTGTAAACGTACCAACAAGTATCTAATTTGTGCAATCACCCTAACTCGCCTTTCTTGTGTTGTTTTCTGTAGTGTTACGAAGTATTGAAGAAAGCTCTGACGTCCACTGAAGGTAAAGATTCACCAGCAGGTACCCCGTATGAAGAGGTGCACACATTGTACTGAATCCCAATCCATCACTATGGGACCGCTGTATGGAGAATTTGACTTACTTACTCACGAATGGTAAGTATCAATTGATATATTCAGCCAAATCGGATAACACCAGTTGACTGCTGTAATACGGCGTTTACATCTTAGAAATTTCAACTTAGAAATAACTGAACTTTCTTATTGCTGCTGAGTGGGAACTTGTTTTTTATAGAATGCCTTATTTCCTCGATTGAATGCCCCCTGAGAAAGCTCCCCCTTCGTTTATGTAAATGGTGGAAAACGTCTGTTACATGTATACGAGACCATTCCCAAGCTGTTCTTCCCCAGATAAAACAGCAAACAATAGAACTGAGCACACTCCGCCCGTTTCGCACCTCCCTAATGCCCTTAAACGTTTAGTGAGGAGATATTGTACGTTGTTGTTTGTTTACGACTTATCATGTCAGGATTAAGTAACAGTATACTCATTCCATTTGGAAATATTGTAACTCCAGAAAGAGTTTAGTAATCAGTATCTTGAATAACAGGGTGAAGATGTCGGACCTTTTCTATTTAGGTTTTCGTTGAGTGTGCCTTCTGTGTGTAATGTCCTGCCATGCATGCGTATTACATATCTCATGTATTGTTTCCTGTTGTTCTTTAAGGACTGATGGTATCTTATCATCTATGATCCGTGTTGGAAGCTCGAGTACAACAAGTGACAAGAAGTGGTACCTGTTTGACGGGCCTGTGGATGCCGTGTGGATTGAAAACATGAGACACTGTGTTAGATGACAATAAGAAGCTTTGTCTTACGAGCGGAGAAATCATCAAACTCTCCGAGGTAAGCTTTGATCATGATTTATAAATCGTCGTTGTCGTTACTGAACTCGGAAGTCGTCGGAAATGTTCGGCAGATCGATGATTTTCGCGATCTAACAAATTTACTACATACTTGATTCACAGGCAATGACGATGATGTTTTGAGGTGCAGGACCTGGCTGTTGCCTCCCCGGCCACCGTCAGCCGTTGTGGTATGGTGTACCTGGAACCTAGTATATTGGGCCTTGAGCCGTACGTAAACTGTTACCTGAAAACACTGCCTGACGCCATATTTGATTACAAAGACAAGTTACAGTCGCTTTTTGACAGATACCTAGAGGTAAGGGTTTCTTAGGGTCTTATCAATATACTATTCTAATAATCTGAGTAAAAATGCAGCAGTATTTCAACCATTCAGTAGCAAAATCACTTGGCGTATGCGTCCTTTTCCGCACTGGTTGCATGTTTTTGCTTCTGATTGGCTCATTGGGTTATTTGAGCTCTTATGCGACGTTATTCTTAGTACGTTAGTCGCGTTAAAGCATAGGTTCAGTATAAATGCATATTTGAGTGCTATTTAATTTGGTTGATTTTCAGGAGTCACTCACGGTTTTGAGGAATAACACCAGGAGTTTGTCACAACTGTGAACAGTAACCTGACATGCAGTCTGATGCGGATTCTGGATTGCTTCTTTGCTCCGTTTGTTCCTAAAGAGGTGTGTAGTTTAATCACTTGACAAGAATGCTGCATGGTAAAGCTACTAAAAGCATGGCAGTGCGTGTAAAATGAAAGCTATTGTTTTTAGGCTCCGTCCACACATATCCGTTTTTCGTTTGAAAACGCATACTTTTCGATCCGTTTTCGCCTATCGTCCACGCGACAACAACGCGTACATTTGAAAACGCTGTCCAGAGTGGAGAAAATTGAAACGGAGCTATCGTATGTGTGGACGGTGAAAATGTAGGCTTCGAAAACGCCGACATCATTCATGCCACAAACATCGCGGGCATGTCTATTTGTCGCATGCGCAGATGACTGTTGTAGCGTCTTCGAGTGTGTGGACGGGGAAAACGCTAGTGTGAACGCGGAGCTTTTGATGTGTTTTCGACGAAACGGAGCGTTTCAAAAACGCATTAGTGTGAACGGGACCTTAGACTTTTCTCACGCATAAAAATACGATGCAATAAATTTTGGGAACAGTTCATATTGAGGCGTGTCAGCATCACGTAACTGGCATTTACTTTTGGGGACGAACCAGTGTTCGTCATAAGGAAATAGTACAAACATTTGCAAAGTGAGTAACACCATGTCTGTCTTCTCGAGGATTTGTCACTATGCAAGAGATGTGTTTAGATTGGTTTGGTGTGATTGTATTGAGCAAGTTGTAGCATGTGCTTCTGGAGTCAACAATTTTCGTGTAGTTAAATAACATAATGAACTTTATGATAGTGTCAATAAAACACATAGCAGAATTAATCCACTAATTGGGGACACTATTTAGAACTTTAGCAATTTGCGTCAACAATTTGTATCATTTTGCGTATCTAGCTTTGTGTAACGTGAGAGAAATCGTACACCGAGGAATGGGCCATTTCCGAGTTGCCTTTAGCCTCTGTTTCAAAACGAGTCCTGGTGCAAGCTCTTTCATATAGACATGAAACTCCTTTCCATATGGAAGGTTGTGCACCAGGACTCATTTTGAAACAGAGGTAAAAGGCAACTCGGAAATACCCTGTTGATCGGAAATGCCATAGTTTGGGTGACAGCGTTTTCCCCACATGAGATAATAACTGCATTTGATTTTGCTTTGTCAGGGTGAGACCATCCGTGAAGAGAACATAGCTTTGGTTGAGACCTTGATTGAACCCTGGTTTATCTTTGCCCTCATTTGGTCCGTTGTGCAACTTGTGATGGAGACGGAAGAAAGAAGTACAGTGAATATTTGAGAAAGAAGATGGAAGACGAGAAGGTCGGTGATTCGCAAAGAAATGTCCAATGAAATTACTTCACTGTGTTTATAACCGTTCATTTTGATGGTTAGAACACCTTGCACCTACAGGCTATTTTCCAGTGGGGAGAGGGGAAAGTACTAGGTAGATCCCTTGGGTCCCCTCGGTATTCCTTGAACCCCACGAACTCTTGGAGGCGCGGTGGCGTAATGGTTACCGTGTTGGACTCGTGATCGAGCGGTCTGGGTTCGAGCCCTGCCGGGGTCATTGTGTTGTGCTCTTTGAGAAGATAATTAAGCCTCTCTCCACCCAGGAGTAAATGGGTACCGGCGCGAACTGTTAGCGCAACCTGACAAAATGCTGGGTGTGTTACCTGCGATGGACTAGCATCCCATCCAGGGGAGTAGCGATACTCCTAGTCGCTTCATACTATGGAAACCGGAGTTAAACGCAGGCCGCTTGTAGACCTGTAGACTTTAAGCTATTTCCTTGAAATCTCACGAAGCCCACCAAACTAACACACCCTTAATTAACCGCCACTCAATTCCAGGTTGCCATGAAGTTCCCAGATTACGGTCTGGTGTATGATTACTCACTTGAGGATGGAGGAGTCAGCCGCAAGCCCAATGATGATGACGATGAGGATACTCATACAGGGGAGGTGAGGGGACAAATTTGACAACTTAAGGGGGGAGGGAAAGGAAAATTTCACTTTAGTTTCAAACCATTTACTTAGAAATCTCGTTTTCTTTCTTTGTCAAAAATTGGTACAAATTTGTTGAGGGGATAAGATTTTCTGTATACAGTGCAAAGCTCTTTGAGCGGACACTCTCGTAAGCGGACAGCTCTACTTACGGCTACCTTGACAAAACCCGTGTGAACTTTAGCTCATACAAACTCTGTATTTACACATTCCGCAAGGCGGCCAGCTCCAGTTGCGGACACTTATTTTGGCTTCCCAACGGTGTTCGCTTACTAGGAGCTTTGACTGTAGTAAGAAAATATAAGGTTTTTCCTATTACAGAATCACTCAATACCGAACAATTCTTAATGTTTTCGTTAGGGTCTTCCACGAAGGAGTGTTTTTTTTCTTAGCATAGTTAATCAAGTGATTCTCAAGGTCAAGCCAGGCCAAACGAGGATGAGAGTTGTTGAGAGTTCAAACTCTCGCTCTCGTTGGCCTCAAACTCTCATCGACTCGTGCGCTCTCATTGAATTTGACCTGCTCAATTTTTTTCTTGAGAGTCGTCGACGGCTATCGCTCTTGTTTGGGCTGAGGTGATGATAGTCGATGAGAGTTGAAGAAAACTCTCATGAGAGCAATCTCTTAACAACTCTCATCCCCGTTTGGCCTTCGGGCTTTACAGAAACTTCGCATAACGTTACTGCGACAAAATAAGGCATTAACTGAAGCATGAACGATGAAGAAAATCACACAGTTTATCAGCAGAACTTCCTAACCCCTACCCCCAACGTTCTACACGAACTCCCCCTACTCTCTCCCCCCCCCCCGCCCAAAAAAAACACACCTCAACCCTAATTTCGCGAGGTGCTTTCTAGTTGAAAATAATATTCTTGAATAATTCACATAAGCGTGTGTTTGTTTAAAAGTGGTCTCTTGACAATAGTTGCATGTTTGAAGTGGGTAAACTGGATGGCTAGGCATAGCTTATGCCTGAACATTCCACCGGAAATGAACTTCTCTGATATCATTATACCCACCCATGGACTTGGTCAGAGGATCGTTTTGTGCTGGAATGCTGTATGACAAACAACAAGAAGGTACGTCAGAACATTGTCTAATTGGCGGTCTGCCACCGGACGGGCGAACTGGAAGTGCGAATCTTCTATTCCAACGTCAAGTTGTAAATGCTAAAACGAGGGCTTTCAGCTTATCAGTGGAGGTTGAAAGCTCCGCCCAACAACCAAGAACATTCGCCTAGCGTTACAAGCACTTCGAGTGTAGTTCTTTACATACTGCAATTTTGGACAGCAAGATGCTTTATTTGTACATTTTCATTTTTTCGAAGT